TGTTGTTGTAAATCTTATACATTCAACAAGGAATGAGTTTCCGAGTCATGGAGCTGAGTTTCTAGCCAGATAGCAACAGGGAATCAGTGTTGGGCCCACTCTCAGACTTCCTTTTGCAAGGTCCTCTGTGGGATGCCGTGGCATAGTTGGATGATTTACAGTTATACACTTGCTGTATTTTTCCAGATGTCCTTTCAGCAGATGTTCAGGAATTTTAGTGTGCTTTTTGGAAGGATCTGCCTCTACATCCCTTAAGATTGTATCTAGATGCTGAGAACTGTAGTGTATTTTAGGGATCCTAAAAGGAGAGGCAGCCTGGTATTAGGGTTCACAAAACTAATATTTGTTGATTGTAATGACTAGTTACTGGAGTATAGACTACTGCATTAAAAGTTTCAAAATATTTTTAACTTTTCATATCCTAAATACTGCAAGGGAAGTTCCTAAATACTGAAAGGGAAATTCAAAGGGAAAATTGTGCAAAGAATAAGCAAAGTATGAAAGAGTGCCTCTTTTTACCTTTAGTAGAAGGCTGCTTTACAGGTGTCTGGGCCTTGTGAAACACTAAAAAATTGATCTTCTGCTATAGCAAAGTATTTTCTCGATCAAGCAGAGCTACCAAAGAGAATTACATTAAACTAAGTCTAAGCATGTGTCTCATTTTCATTGACATCAGTGTTTTAAGTTGCTTTGCTGAATCAGGATCAAGAGAAGTTGAGATGTTAAGAGGGAAACTGGCATTTAAAGATACATTGAAGACAGTCCGACCTTATAATGAAATCCTATTCGCTCTCAAACAATGGGACAAACAAAACTAGGCATTCAGGTCATGGCCATAGGCTCGGGCATAGACTTCTTCCCTTCACATGCATCTTGGTTGGTTTTGTTCTGCTTTCTAACTTAGCTGAGTAAGTTCTGCCACAGTTCTTGAGCTCAGAGCATCCTCATTATCGTTGTGTGATTCTAAGACTGCCTTTTCCTGAACATTGCAAGGTCCACACTAACACAAGGCAGCACTGGAGTGCTGTTCAGTACTATGAAGTCCTCATATAGCAGCCGCTGAACAAGGTAGCACCAGCTGCCTTGTTATCATCTGAAAGTTCAATCAGTATGATCACTGCTGTGGCATTGCACCTGGAAGATTGCTCGTAACAGGACCAGGAAATGGTAGTGATACAGGGCTTCTGCAATCTGGGAGAATGGTTTTATTTTAGTGATCAAAATGTTTAAGGGCTTCTTGCCAGGGCTTGGGACTGCATAGATACATGCAAGATCACCCTGACAGAAATCAGTTTTACTGGTAAAGCTTGATAATGCAAAGCAGGCCATCATCTGTAAAGCTAATGGAAAGTGGAATGGCAGTACTGGCGTTTACATAAGTGACAGCGGGCTGAGGGAGAAATAGTAAAGCAGACCATTAAATTCTCTGTAATTTATTTTCAGATTGATCACGTTTTTCACTGCCTCTTCTGGGGAAAAATCAACTGTTTCTCTGATTAAAAGCTAAAATAAACTATTTTATTGTCTCAACATCTAATTTCAGGCTAGCTAAATTGATATCACAGGTAGAATGGAGCAAGACTGGCATTAATTTTATTATAGATAGTGACTACTATCCCTGGATAAGGAAGAAACATCCCAGTTCTCCCCCTCCTGAGGAGGAAGACGCTTATTTTACTATGAAGAAGTTCTACGTATCGCTTGGTCAGGTAAAATAAACATGTTTACTAGATGTAACATCAAGTCAGATTGAATGAATTGGTTTAAATTATTGTAACTGAAGTCACAATCTAATTGGACAACTGTTTCTCTGAATTTTCAAAGCTCTTTGTATTATAGAAGAAGGTTGATGGGTTGTAATACTGCTTAAACAGAAGCTGTGTTACAAGTATACTCAGCTATTGTCATGCATGTCTCTTCACTGTGAGCTATCATTACAGAAATCTGCACAAACACACTGCACAAAATGCCTATAGACAGTAAGCCTGCTTTCAGAAAAACTGCAATAAATACAGAAATTTGAATTATTCTATGACATTTCTTTTCCTAGGCTACGGTTTCTCAGACAAAGGATTGGTTTATGTTAGCAAAACGAAGTGAATCCACGAAAACTACAAATTCATTTATGCAACCTGTAATGTCTAGTCAAATTCAAGATATTCAGTGTTTGTCTGGGCAGCATGAAAGAGACGATTCGTTAAGCCAAAAAGATAGCCTTCTGGGTAAGTAACTGGGCTCAGCCATAGTATTTGTAACACAGCTCTGACTAGGTGGAAAGAAAAGGCATTCCAAGGAATCGCTGCTAACTCCACTTACTACCTTTTGAGTATCACATGGTATCTTAGGCTTCAGATGGGGATTTGTTTCTTTCCATAGTCACAACATTAAATGAAAATCTGAGCTAGTAGCCAAGTAATTTTATGAGAGTAGAAACTTCTTACATATTGCTGTCTCACAGATATCTGTAAGTTTCAGCTGAGGGATTTTTTTTCCATTTGATATGTTTTGAAAGACTTTCTTGTCTGGATTCTTTGGGTATTTGATAATGTATGATTTGTGTAGCAGCCATCTTCTTGGGGTATTTATGTTGGGCACTTAAGGGCCTTTTGGCTGCCAATTTTTATGAATCTTGTAGAAAGTAATAATTTGTGACACTCTGGTCTATCTGTCAAATTTAACTAAAATTGTTCAGCAAGATTCAATGATACTGGGAGAGAATACACAGATGCACATATGGACATACCTGATTGCATAGCCTTGCTTCTGCTCCACAGGCAGTAGTAAGATGAACAGAGAAGTCTCAGCTCATATGTTAGGAGTTCTCTCTCCCTGTTCTTAGAGGAAAAAGCAGCCATTCCACTTTGAGACTTATACTGCAGGAACCTTGGAGTTCAATGGCTGAATGGAAAATCAGAAGACATGGTAACTCCAGAAGTCTGTCTTCTTTCCCAAACCCAGGAGGATCACCCCAGGAAATACATTGCTGTTGCACGGATAATTAATGAAGTTATTCAAGTCTTGTTTGCAGCTTATGACTCTACCCCTAATTTTTGCAGTGCTGTGAGCGGAGAGGTCACAAATGCAACATTCTCGCAGAGCGTTGTAATGTAGTACAGCTCTATGCTGCAGTGGGCTGGGCACAGACCTATGGAAAGCCTCCCTGTCCTCTTTTGCTGTGATTGTATTGCAGTCAAGAGCATTTTGCCTCAATGAATATTTTACATCTTCTAACTGAAAACTTTATTTTAATACATAGACCTTCATTTTACATGTGCTTATGACTCTTCTTTATCCTTATTTCATGGGAATTCTTTCAGTCAGAAAATTTTTTTTAGGCACAGTATCCACCTGGTCAGGCACTGGAAGCAATAAAGGGCATCAGCTAAGTTTCTCAGAGCCAGTCTGTGATTAAAGAGTTCAATAGATAAGGTATTTGCTTGGACAATCCAGTTTGAATTCCTTGCTCACTGCTTCAGTTGGATCTGGGTTATCAATTAATGTCTTGAGCAAAATCTTGAGCCATTTGGCTTTTGATTACTCAAGAGCTGTGTATCTCTCTCCCTAATTCCCTCAGGTCCTGTGAAATCACTCTTCATGTTTCAATTTCACAGAACTGTGTTGAGAAGCTATAATTCTTCTTTGTCAAGTGAAAACATTTGCAATAGTTTAGAAATAAGAAAAGATATTTTAAATCACACTGATTTTTATATTGTCAACATATCGTGCCATATGTACTTACACACGATATTATTTAAGTGCAGAGCAGGGAATTTCTATGCCATGTTCCTAATCCAAGTGGCTGTCTGTGACAGTGGCCAGCACTGGTTAGATGTGGCTTATTTTTGAAGGAAGATGGAAGGAATGTCCATCTGCCATTGTAATTTATTGACTAGGCCCCCATAGAGGGTTACAGAGGCCAGTAACATTGCAAATGTGAATTAGTGGATCTGAGAGATTTAATCTTTTTCTGTCACAGCCTGATGTAGTGCCCGTGCTCAGAGGTTGTAGCAGACTCCTCATTGACAATGTTTTGTCTTAGTGATACAATAGAGTATGAAAGCCCACATTTTAGCTTTAGGGAAATATGAAGATTCAGTTTATTCTATAGTTTAAACACTGGATTGACATGAAGATATTGTAGAGCCACAATTATGAATTTGTTTTTTCTTACTTTCACTTACATTCTACTGCTGTTCACGCTATCTGTAGTTATTCTGCTGAGTTTTACAGGACTGACTTATACAGTGACAGCAGCATTAACCTAGCTAAGCAGTATGTCTAGTCAAGGTCATCTTTGCCAACACGCTCCAGAAGTACTTAATTTGCTAAAAGTCTGGCAGAAGTAAAAAAAATATTTGAACAAGTTAAAGCAGTAAGTTTCTTTCTCAGCAGACCAGGATGGCAGGACATGCTTAATAGCATGGGGACAATGAGGAGCTGGGTAAAAGGAATTAAGTAAAGAACTGGAGACTATAAAAACAGAGCTGGTCACTGTTCTGGACTTGTTAGTTATCTCTAAATGAAAAAAATATCTCTAAATGGAAAGGAGTAATTTCTGGGTGGCAGATTGGACTGCAGGATTTTTAAATGTTTCCAGAGCCTTGACATAATAATTTGTTTTGTCATCCTCCTACATATGTCAAGATTTTACCCAACTGACAGAGGCCTCTTTTATGTTTTAGTCTTTTGCAATAATCAACATAAGTAGACAAAGAATTACCACTTACTAGCTTCCTCAGGCCTAAATGAAAACCAATCCTGCTACATACTGTGACTTTGATCCAATTATGACCAAATGCTCAGGAAGAAACCAGGCCTTGAAGCACAACAAGGTGGTTTAACAAGTGCCGAGGAGCTGGGATGCTCAGCTGAGTAAACAATGACAATTGGCTCCAGAGGGAGTTGGTCCTGAACTCTGTTGTTCTGCTGGAATTCAACAGGGAATGAGTTTCTGAGTCATGGGGCTGAGTTTCTAGCCAGATAGCAACAGCAGAAGCTCCTCTGCTATTCCGTGCTCTGCAATGTGGCATGGTCTGATTGTTTTGCAGCAGCACAATATAAATATGTTGCATTTTTTAAGTTGGAAATGTTTATATGCAAAACAACAGTCTTGAATCAAAATGGTGTTCAATGATCTTTTCCAATTTCATGCAGGAGCAGATTCTCTGTCTAAGGAATGCCACCAACGGAGTTTCCTTTCCCCTTCAAGGACAGCATCAGCAAAAGCTGGCATTATTAGAGAGAGATCCAGAGAGGCTTGGGAGGGTTCTTCTGTGGCTGTTGCTGAACCTCCTTTCCACACTCAGTTGGGAGTTTATCTAGACCCAAAATGGGACAGTGCAACAAAAGAAGAAAATGGACAGGAAAGCACAGCTTTTCAGATACGAGAAGAATTCATACCAGCTTATACTCAATTTGTAATGAAGGAACCCATTTCAGAACTGACTCACCAGCCAGCTGCTGACATTGAGAGTGATGTAGATTTCCACAAACAGCCTGAAGTGTTTACACATGAGTTAGCAAATACTGAATTTGCCCGTGGTATTGCAGAGTCACTCTTTTCCCAAAGTTCCCCATTTACTGTCTTGGACTCCAAGGGAGACGTAAGAGAACAAGATGCTGAAGAAGTAAGCATAAGATCAAGTTCTGAAAGTAATGGGGCAGACAGTAGGGCTGCCTGGTGTATTAGTCATAGGACTTATGACACTGGCAACAGACACGAGTTTGAAAGATTCAAGAAGTTCATTAAAGGAACACTCGGGGAGAGGTACTGGTGGCTCTGGATGGATATTGAAAGACTAAAGGCTCTTAAGGACACTACAAGGCAGCAAAGGTACTTCTCATTATTTAACAGCTATTCCCATTGTTTTTATACTTGTAACCTAGATCAATGCAGGTTTTGAGATTTCAGAATAAATTGTAATGTCTGAATAGAGCAGACACAATTAAAGTAATCATGAGTGTCCTGACAGAGTAAGTCAGGAATGCCTCTGCTGAAGCTGATAAAGCTCTTTTCGCAGAGTCATGTTTGCAAAGCTTACGTGAAGTCAGAATCACTGTAGTATTAAGGCTTTGTTAGAAAGAGATTTGGAAAACAGATGGCAACAGAAAGAAAAAAAAAAAAGAATAAAAGAACTTAAATTCACAAGTAGGGCATTCAGTATGACAAACTGCTTTAATGAAAGGCTCTGCTGGATTTAGATTGTCTATTCTAAGGCACTGTACATTTTGTCTTATACACAACCTGTCTCTAATTTGTGGAAAAACTGTTTTGGCTTCTGCAGCCTACAATTAAAAACATGTTGCATGACAGCAGTTTAACCAGTAGGATGAACTGATTCTTGTACTTGATTCTGTATAGTGTCTGGTACATGCTTACATGACTATTTTTGTTGACTCAAGGCAACTCATTAAGATGAAAAAACTCTATCTGCTGAGCAGTGGAGACTATTTCCTCGGTACAGAAGTATTACTCAGACTTGATCTACTGCATGGAGATCAGTGGAATAAAAGGCATCTAAGACGGATTCAGCCTGAAGTAGTGAAACCTCTACTTCTTTACTGGTATGAAAAAATGAACATGAACTAAGATTCTATTGTTTAACAAATTTCTCTTTTCTTTGGTAAGCCTATTAGGTTTTATTTCATTTCACTTATCTCATTGCAATTATGGAAAGTAATGTAATCGTAAATACTAGCAGATGTTGCCTCTGAAATTTAGTTGAGCCTAAACTACACTGCAATCTTCTGAGAAGCCAGGTAGATCTCCCTTACTGAGCCCTTGCTATTTTACTGCCAGAGCATCTGAGCTACTTCATGTATAGCTGCCTTGGATACCATTCAAATAAACTTTAGGCTGCAGAGTAGAGAAACCCCTCCAGGCATAGAAGGTTAATTCTGTCCTAACTTATTTCCCATATTGCCCTTCTCAAGTTTCTGAAGATGCTCTGTGTATACATCTATGTGGAATTTGACCCTGAGACTTTACTGTTCAATTTCTGTCGTACAAAATGCCTTTTACATATTGACAGCTTAAGTGAGGATAAAAATTCTAACCCGTTTCCAAAACATAAGCTGAATTTTTGAAGGTCTTCTCTTGGCCCCAAGGAGGGTTAACAAATTGCAGGCATAAACAAATACCTGCAACTGTGACCTTTGCTGTGGAGCTTGATGAAAGTTACGGTCTATGTCCTACAACCTACAATCCTTTCACATTCTTTGCTGTAGGATGGATGGGATCTCTTAGAAAGGCAACTAGATAATGGAACAGAATTTTGCAAGCTAAGTTTATGTATGTGTAGCTTGGTTTTACATTTGGAAGAGTGCGATGTCTAAACATATCTTTAATATTAGGTGATTTTAATTCTAGATGCATATTGCAGCATATCTTGATACAGTAAACACCATCATGGGGAAAAAAAAAAAAAAGAAACCAAATAGCCCAATATTTCATGTTGCAGGAAAGATCTACTTATTAGCGCTTTTTTTCCTAGGGGTCCCAGATTTTGTGTTGCTCATTCAACAGCAATAGAAACTGCCAGCGCAAAACTGAAGCTCTGGCACACATGCCAAGAGAGACCAAGGATGGACATTGATCCTTTTCCACAAATGGTTTCACTGCTACCATTGACACCTAAGTCTTGCATGCCTAGGATATCACCTTCCCTTCCTCAGGTAGGTAGGACCACAACATTGAAAAGCAAAGCCTTGTCCTATCAAAAATAATGATAAAACTCCTCAAATTCAATGGGACAAGAATATGGTACTTGGTTGTTAGGAAGTCAACCATGATTTAGCAAGATTGTCTGCTGCAGATGGTTATGTATAAAAATGCAGGAAAACTTCACTATACTTTATGCTACAGGTTGCTATAAATAGAGTCAAATTATCTTCCCAGTTACATCTTGGCTATTTTGTAAATATTTTGGATAGATATTTTAGCTTTAAATTCTCAGAACTGCAGGATTAAGAATCTAGCTGCGCAAATTCTGCCTTTCAACCACCCTTATCTTAATCCAGAGTAATTCTTACAACTTCTCTGCAGCTACCTTGAATCTACCCCTCATGTTTGTAAAAAGTCAGAGTTATGCTCATTTTCTATCGCCACGGAATCAGCTACACATGATTTTTGCTTTCTGCTGAGGGCCATGAGCCACACAACACACATCGGTCCTTTTTATAGCATGTAGCTTGCAGGTGGCCAGTTCAGATCAGACTTTGTTCTTCCTTGAAAGTCTGAGTTTGAGAAGTGACTGCAATGAAAGCTGCAGGTTTTCAACAACATGATGGTACAGAAGGTACTTGGAGAACGTGAATCGAGACAGTGGTTCCAAGAACTGGATGGGCTGTGCCACAGATCTGTTCATGTACACCTCTGCTACTTTGAGTTGCATAGTTTTAGACTACAATTATACTTTAAAAAAAGCTAAACCATGAAGATAATGGAGGAAAAACAGAGGAACAGATTTCCTGTTCAGAAGGAGCTAGATTCAAGAGCCAGATTCCTGCT